CGTACGTCTCAGGTGATCAACTTGATAAATATATATAGACTTTCCAATAAGCAGTTTTTCACTTAACACGCAAATCCAATCGAAATATATTCAAACCCTTTCAATAACACGAATCAGAAATGAATTAGGGGGCATGGACCGAAATACCTCTGTTTCGAGGCTTTAGGTGGGCCAGGTAATCAACGGGTACTGGTTGTGACACTCATTCTTTGTACTTGGCTGGGTTTTGCCTGATTATGTTCAGATGCAAATCACCTATGTTGAACATTCTGTGTTTGTTGTGTTTATGTTGCCATGGCAATATCTACAGTATAAATTTCCCTCACACTGGGACAACTGACACTGACAGGTTCACAGACACTAAGATGAAGACTGCCATGATCCTTGGCCTTCTGGGTGAGAATCTCTGTCAAACATCTAACTTCCACACTTTCATAACTATATTCAAATAGTATTCATGGTCATTGGAACAATTTAACCTTTGCTCAATTTATTTTGTTTTATTATTTGTTTTAACTCCAACTTACATTTTTGTTCTTATGATGAGTGAGTATTGATTTGTGGTTATATAGTAGTCATTTAAATAGTATTATAATAATTGCATTTATATAGCGCATCATTCACTAATAAATGCTCGTTGCTCTTAAGATGGAAATTGACACTTGAAAAGAAATGTTTTGAGGCCAGTCTTAAAAGATGTTAGTGACTCGCTGGTTTTGAGTTCAAGCGGTAGCGCGTTCCACTTCATTGCTGCGTTGAAAGCGAACGACCTTGCCAAAGTTGGTTTTGATGTTTGGCACTGTCACTAGCATTTGGTTTTGTATTCATGGTCATTTGAACAATTTAACCCTTTGTTCAATTTAATTTGTTTTATCATTTGTTTATATATCCAGCTTACATTTTTGTTCTTATAATGACTGATTATTGATTTATGGTGAATATAAATTTAGTAGTTTTTCAAAATCTGTAGTAAAAAAGTAATATGTGAAGACGTTTCTATCTAAAGGCATAAAAGAAGTATGTATAAACTTAATAAATTAATCCCTTTTAAAGAGCCCCGACAGGTATAACGAAACGGGTAGTTATGTTTATAACTGAATAATTATCCAGTATGTGTAGGCAGCGTGTTGGAGGGGCATGGGCTATGTGGAATTTGATGGAATTTGTTTAACTGCTGGGGCAACAGAAAGCATTTAATTTCATTGTTTTAATTTCATGGATGTTAACATAAAAAGAAATGTTTTATACGGTGATGTGTTTTATATGCGTATGAAGGTCGTGTTTAGGGCCTTAAGTTTTCTGTGTCAGCAACTGCTTTTAGATTTTCATAAAATGTGTAACTTTGCTATCAAATCAAATTATCAAGAGAATACTTTCTTTTGTCAATCAATCAGGTTATTGCATGAAGGCCAGAGGCCCATATACAAAATAAATATGTATGATATGTACAACATATACAACATGCGACACACGTTACATTGAATCTCTTCTCAATATAAGCGCGTGATAAATAAATAGAGCTACCTTATATTGTAATAGGGATGCTTTACATGAAAGTATTGAATACAGTTTTGTTGCATTAATATTTGATTGTAGCCATTGTGGAAAATACAGTTGCCTTAAATCATTATATGCAGGACAAAGAAATAGAAAGTGTAATTCATTCTCTACAGTATTTCAAAATGGACAGAACCTTTGTGATTTTATAATAGATGAATATCTTCCTTGCTTGATATATAAATCTTTTAGGCCAAGTCTCAGGCGTATGAAAACATTACGAAGCTTTTACTACGTAAGTTGTATAGTTGTCAGTCAGTATATATTATGCCTGTGACCGTAAATTTAGTATATATGTATTCACAGTATAATTATATACAGGTGGTTTATATGATAATGAAATATTGAATATTAAATCGTATTTGTTTTCATTTAACAAATATCCTATGTTACAACTACATATACCATTTGGTATAATACGACAAGTATTGTCAGGTTGGTGGAGCATGCGTCGAAATATGTCGAATGTAGTATTTCCCTTAATCCAAATTATCTGGTAAAAGAGACACACACCCCACCCCCCCCTTGTTTGTCTGCCCAACAGCCAAGCGCATTATCGTTCCTGCTGCCTGGAGATTCGTGCGATGCTAAAGTTCTAAATGAAGCAAGTCTAGATTTCCTCAGGTTAAAGGAACTGTTGGTTTGCATCAAAATTATATATATAAGCGTCAGTCTACCTCCTTGTCTGATAGTTGCTTACCAGGAGACCAACATTACATGACTGTACGATGGTGATGTATTTAATGCAGTTGCTATAGTTACGTTTTAGACTTAGGTTTGCAGTTTTATGGCAACTGTTCTCTGTTCAGTAACATTCTGACAACATTTTCTTCAAATCCAGTTTTCAACCTTGTACTTTCTTTTGTTTAACTATTAACATTTTTTTTTAAAGTCACCGTCGTGTTAAATAGCCTAAGTACACTTAAACTGTTCAATGGAGAATTGCAAGACCTACGTGTTGGACAAAATCAAGAAATGGTTATAATATCAGAGCCCGATAATGTGACGATGATGGCTATCGGTGACCTTGACCTTACTTTGCAGCCTTAGTGTGCCTGGGAGCGGTGCAGAGTGCGACTACAACCGCCGCGCACACCGCCGCACACACCACCGGACACCATGAATCTACCACCGGACATCACTCAGGTGAGGTGCTAGATACTGTGAGCTACACTCAGTGTTACTGGCAGCCGCAGCAAGTTTTATAAAAGTCATTGAAAAGTCTTTGATCCGCTAAGTCTTCAGGGATTATTATCAAACTGACTAATTTAAGTCCGTGCCTCAGTTTCATACTAGATACTAATAACTACCTCTAAGCTGCTGCAGTCGAAACTGCGACGAGGATACCCCTCCTTTAATACCTGGCGCGGGTGTACTGTGCCTACGTTTAGTCACGTGATTATTCAGCAATACCTGTGATATAGTTTTTAATTGGACAGGTAACAGTCTCAGACTGATGTATGTACTTTAAATATTGATGTAAACAGCTTCTACGGGATGGTTGTCAAGCATCTCACTATTGCCAATAAGTGTTGGCATCTGGAGGCGTGGATATATAATGAAGAATGGTCTTTTCAGGATACTCCCCGTTGTCGATGACGTTGTGGGCCAACGTGGTGATGTTGCTGGTCGCAGTCTGTCTGCAAGGGCGCTAGGTTCTTCCCCAGCGGCCTGTACTTCAGCACCTGTAGGATCCTTGTAGGAACACTCTCCGCCATCTTGTGGCACGTGTACTGCTGGTGTCAGGTACTGCTTCCGCATCTCGTGTATGGGTTGTAGTGATGACGTCAGCAACGATTGCTCACTGAACCTGACCTCGGCCTGTACCTCCGACTACCTCTTGATACATAAATAAACTTTCTTTGTAAACACCGATGTGTTGTGTAATTGTCTGATTTACTTTCAACAAGACGTTAGTGAGTGAGTTCACGGGCCGGGTGGAGGTGAGCGCTTGAGTATGGTTTTACGCCGCTTTTAGCAATATTCCTGCACTATCAAGGCGGGGGTACAGCACATGTACCCATGTGGGAATAGAACCCGGGTCTTCAGCGTAACGAGCGGTCGCCTTAACCATGAGGGCGTGTGAGTAAGTTTTTATAAGCAATCTTCGGAGCTATATGATTGGTTGAGGGATATGGAATGCGATTGTTTTGGTTCAATTTTTTACAATAATGACACTTCCTGACGAAAAGGGGCGGTGGGGTAGCCTAATGGTTAAAGCGTTGGCTCGTCACGCCGATGACCCGGGTTCGAATCCCCACATTGGCACAATGTGTGAAGCCCATTTCTGGTGTCCCCCACCGTGATGTTGCTGGAATATTGCTAAAAGCGGCGTAAAAACCAAACTCAGTCAGTCAGTCCTGACGAAAAGAACACGAACGAGCACCACTGAAACCCGGCCGTAATGTCCCATTACTGTTAAAGTTGAATACACATACACATATATATTAATACGATGTATATATTTACTCTGAACTCCGACTCTCTTCGGGGTTAGGGAAGTGGTTGAAGGGTTCGCTCACTACGATTAAGTCTGAGTTCGATTCCCCATACTCATTTACTCACTCACTCAGACTATAGAAAACAGTACACAGGCCGACCTTGTTGAGTGAAGATGCTTGGTCTGCCTGGAGGATGACCTAACCAGAGCGATGATATGGCACCACTGAATGGAGCTAGATATTTGCACCTGACCAAACCTGCAGTGAGTTATTTCAGTTCCAGCTGAATGT